ACCCAACCGCACAGGCCGACTCGGCAGCAGCCTTGGGATCGGTCCCAAACCCCGCCACCCGTACCGGGAAGCTGAGCCCCAGCAGGTCACCCAGGCAAGAGGGGGAGGGTCCCGACACCAGTCCCATGGGGCACCCGGGCCACAACAAGGGCCTGTCGGGACCGGCCGGCCGCGCCCAGGGTGAGCCGCCTTCCCGGCGGGCGGGAGGGCTGGGCGGTGCAGACCGTGCCCATCCGGGCCCCGCGCCGAGCGGAGCGGAGCCGTCGGGAGCCTGCACCTTGGGGCCGCCCCTCCCAGCAGCCCGGCGAGGAGGGAGCACCTTTGCGCCCACTATCCCGGCAGGGAAACTGAAGCCTGGAGAGGAGCAGTGTTTTGTGCAAGGTCACTGGAGGCGCTAACAGCCAGGTCCCTCGCGGCCCGCCGGGTCCCCTAGCCGCGCGCCGAGCCCAGCATCCCTCCCTCTCCCCGAGCTGCAGCCGGAGGCGCAGCGTGCACGCCCCGCCCGACGCCCCCACCGCGCAAACCGGGAAGGCACGACTGGCTCTTTCTCCCGCCCTAGTCACCCTTCCCCCTCCCTCCCACCCAACCGCGCTCCTGGCACCCCCGGGCGGGTCCCCGGGCGCGCATCCGCGCTTAGAACAGGCGCGTACACCGGCGTGCGCACACCGCAGTGACTGGGGCGGGCTGCCCCGCGACCCGGCGGCGGCTGGGGACAGTCAGACCGCTTGGCTTCACGTCCCGACGTCACCTCGCTGCGTGGTGGGACAAGGGAGCTGACCTCCTGGAGCCTCAGTTTCCCCTAGGTGAAACGGAGACCGTAATCATGTCTGTCTGAGCGGGCTGTTGGAGAAGCGATCGCGAGGTCCCGGCACCTTGCACTCGCGGGACGTGCACTCGCAGAGTCTGGCTCCCGGAAAGCGGTCCTTTTCCGCGGGCTATGAGCTCGGTACTGAGGCTTCCCAGATCGCCGGGAGGGCCAATCGTCCTCCATTTGGTAGCCAGGAGGGGGCGCTGTTGCTGTCTCGCCGGCTTTGGAGCCTCAGGACACTTGGCAGTATCACTTGGTACTGGCACGCACTGAGCCAGTCCGTGTCCTAAACACAGTGCATTACTTCACTTTACTGCCACAGAGCCCGTTAGGTTTCCACTAATACCTATTACTATTAGTATTTCTTGAAAGTTCTTTTGTTCTAGAGAAGAGTGCGCTCACGGGAGACACAGAGGCAGAGAGACAGAAAGCAATAAATCATCCCCAAGAGCGGATAGCTACACCGAATCCCTTCTTCTCCATTCTCCTCTCGGGATTTTGGGCACGTGTGCACAGGCAGCCAACGTGAGTTTTAGGTTGCCAGATCCAGGATTCAAACTGTAGGCAACTCCGTGGGAGTCCAGCGACGTAACAATTCCGCCATCTAGTGGTCCCAGGCCCTATTACCTATTTACACAGAAGGGAGCTAAAGCATGGAGAAATCAAGTACCTAACTTCAGACCACAGAGCTGGCTCCCGCTAACTGGCAGCCACTCCACCACACCACCGCGGGAGGAACTGTTTTGTTCAGGGGTATACCTTGTGGGCCAAACAGTACCTGGCACATGTAGGCACTCAGCATACAGTTGGCAAGTGAATAACACAGCACGCTACTTCACATATATCGTTTAATCCTACCAATGCTTTTATTTAGCTACTATTATTACCCTGTTTCGCAGATAAGAAAAGTGAGGCTTAGGGTGCTCAGTGCTTGGGCCTCTTGATTTTTCTCAAAGAATCAGATCAAAGCCTGTGACTCAGCCTTTGCAGTTCTGGGCCACTCTTTGGCTGGATGGACCTCCCCTGAGATCATGTGGCCCTCAGCCTTAGCCTTGCAGCCCTGATCCAGGCCTCCTGGAGCCGGACTGCCCGGCAGGTAGACTGGAAGCACACTTCTAGCATCGGCAGGCGAGAGCTGGGTATTAGTAGTTTCATAAAAGCATGTGGGGGGAAAAAAAACCCACAAAAAACAAAAAACACCAGAATATTTTGGGACTTTCTTAATCCGCTCAAGGTTCTGTGTTGGTTTTCTTGGAATTACACTGAAGGGGATGGGCACATAACCTTTCCCAGGCTAAGGTATCCAATGCCTCATTTCACCTGGGGCCTGGGCTAAGTATGTCTGGTGCCCCATCCCCCTGCCCCGCGTCACTCACCCTGCACTCCCACACATCCCGCCTTTGCTCACACCCTCCCCTCTGCCTTCTGGAATCTCATCTCTCCTGTCTAACTGACTCCTCCTTAAGGCCCAGTCTTCCCAGATGCCCATGGGCATGCCTTCCCATTCTGTACCTGCATCCTGTCATGGTGGTTGGCGGCTGGGACTCTGAGGAAGGCTGGCTTGAGAGAGCCCTCTCTGAGGGCCAGAGAGAGGCCTCCGCCATAGACAGCCCCCCATACCCTCCCTGGGGTTCCTGCATGTGCAACTGTTTGGACCACTCATCCTGGTCTAGAGAAAGGTTATCCCGTTATCATGTGAACTGCACACATGGGGAAACTGAGGCCCGAGCAGGCGTGACCTAGCAGGGCTCCCTAGCTAGAAAATCACACAGCAGGTCTGGCTGCAAAGCTGGGCCCAGGAGCCAGCGCCTTCTGTTGGCCTTAGTGCTGGCTGAGATATAGGCAGGCACTGCCCCCGTCCTTCCCAGGGTCGGCTTGGCCACCTGTGGTAAACTTCCCATGTGACCTGTGTGCATGTGGCCAGGCCTCTCCACCTGCCCCCTTCTCCTACAGGAGTTTTCTGTACAATATGGCCCTGTGTCCGTGGGGGGTGGAGCCGAGGAGCAAGGAGACAGAGCCTGGAGGTGAGGGTCCACCTGGGGGATACTAGCATATCTTTGAGCTGGGGCAATCTGTGGAACTGAGTGTGAACCTCCCACTTTGGGGGTGTGGGTGTCGGGACTTTCAAAGAGTCCTCCAGGTTGTTTCTCTATTGTTGGCGATGCTGCCTCAGGGAGGTTCCTTGGGTAACTCCTTTGTCCTTCCCTGTAGAAGGGGGCCTAGACCTCAGCTTAAGGGGGGAGGGTCTGAGGTCTGCAGGAGGGATACTTCCAGCCTGAGGTCCCATCCCTGGGGCAGGAAGGTGGGGTTGTGAGGGATCAGATCCTCCAGCCCTGGAAGGTAGCAGCCCCTGGGGAAGGGGGTGACAGCTGTGGTGCGGGCCAGGAACCCGACACCAGAAGTGGGCCCCAAATGCCCTCCAGGAAGAGCAGGGGGAGGGCAGGCAGGCTCCTCAGGAGCAGCAGCAGCAGGCTCAGGCACTGGCTGCCCCACTCCTGTGTCCATCTCTGACAGCACCATGATCCCAGCTTGAGGCAACAGGAAGCCCTTCCTCCATTTATGAGTGTACCCAAGAGGGCAGGCTGGCCCTTTCCCCCTGGGTCATGGGGAGATGTTCCAGAGAAGGTGGGCTGGGAGGGGCCCTCTCTTTGGGTTTGCAGTCTGCACGTCGAGGCTTTGGCAGGGATCACTCAGTGGTGTGTGACTTTGGACAGGTTAGTCCACCTCTCCAAGCCCGACTCATCTGCAACCTGAGGTTGACCGGGTGGGTGGTGCTGCAAGGCAGGCGGTTCTCATCCCCAGCTCCCCTCTTCAGTGCAGGAGCAGGTGGTCCTCCCTGTCCTGCAGTCCCCAACCCTCCCACCATAGCAGAATGCACAGGCCAGGTTGTGTGGAGGTTAAGGCGGGTGAATCCTTTTTGGCTGACTCTGAGGTTTGAGTCCAGGACCCAGAGGCTTGAAAAGATGCCAGGTGCATGTGTATGCATGCCCAAAATCCTAAGAGGAAAACAGAAGGGACTGTGGTGAGGCCATCTCTCACTTTCTCTCTCTCTCTCTCTCTCTCTCTCTCTAGCGAATGCACATGTCCTATAGCAAAATAAATAAGTAAATACAATGAAAAAGAATGCTTGAGCCCCACACAAGTGCTGAGCAGGAGGCCTGAGCACCAACATGCCTCAAAAGCGACTCAGGGGGAACCAGCAGTTAGTGTAATGGCTGTGTCGCTGGACTCCCATCCTGGACTCGGTGGCTTAAAACTCACGCCGGGCGCGTGTGCGTGAGTGCCCAAGATCCCGAGAGGAGAACGGAGGAGGGGGGATTGTGGCGTGACCACCCCCCCTGGGGGGTGATTTCTCGCTTTCTGTCTCTCTGTCTCTCTCTGTCTGTCTGGTGAGTGCATGCGCCCTATAGCGA